TCAATCCTGATCAGCCCAGCAGATCCATATAGTCAGTAATGAAAGCTGGTTATATGTGGGCCACGAAGACAAAAGTACCTGGATTTGAATCTCAGCCCTTCCACTGACTGGGGATGTGACCTTGGGCAAAATATTGATTCTCTGTAAGCCCTGGTTTCTTCATCTGTCAGGATGAGGTGCGATACTGCACAGAACATGAGCAATGAGCTTGAAGTGATGAACACAGGTCCGGCCATACTGAGTGCTCAACACAAGATAGCCATCATTATTTTGAAAACTATTATGATTGCTATCAGCCATTCAGGATTTCATCCTGGCATTCAGCCAGTAATGTCTCTAAGCAATTATCTTACTCCAAAAGAGGTGAAACTTTTGAAGAATGAAGAATTCCAAGTTATTACCTAATGCAGGCCATGTAAATCTTTTATGGAAATAATGCTTGAATCTTACCGGAATCACACGAGACTACAAAAGAGCTTTATAAAGCTATGGTAGGGCCATTCCTGGACATTGTGGGCATGCAACCATGTGAAAGGAAGCCCCAAGAGAAAATTCAAAGGCTACAGCAGCAAGAACTAGGCATACAGCTAGATTTTTTGGGGGGGCCAAACTTTTGTATTTCTTTGCCATTTAAATGGAATTTGACCTTTAATTTTTATTTTCTCTTTTTTAAAATTCACAACTTCATACTCCTTTATAACCTAGGTATACCTAAATCTACGCATAATTTCCACTGTAATTCCTACATCGTAGAGCTAATTTTAATAGTAAAGAAAGGATTAAAGATATTTTGAAAAAAATAATCCAAATTTCTACCTCCCTAAAAGGAGTCTTTTCATTTTACCTATTTCTTCATTTATCTATATATGGCTATTACAGAGAAATGCACATGAGTTTGCTACTTATTTTCATATAAAGTTCTACTGAACATTTTAATAGGGCTATAAATATAGTTACTTTACAAATATTTTTAGATGATCACATGACATTTTTTCACTTTGATAATTAAATAATTCTATTAAATTTATACATTGTTTTAAGTTGTTTTGGATTTGCTATTTTACATATATTTGTGTATATAGTCATATGTATTTAAGTTGTAATAAATTACTTTACACATCCACATTTGGTGTTTCTGTGTAATTCTTTCCTCAGGATAAATTCATAGGACTTGAACTGCAGGTCAAAATATCTGAACGTATTTATAATTATTCTGCAACACAATGCTGTCTTCCAAGCAGCTATTTAGTATCACTTCTATCACTAAGCACACTGTTTAGTTCAACTGACTTTTCTTCATAGGTAGATTTTCTCAAAAAGAAGCACTGAGTTGATTTATATTCAGGTGCAAACTCCTCATCTCATCACAGACTAGTAGTAAACAATCAGCAGATCAATTACTTTGAGTAGTACAGCCTCAGCGGTCCCCTCGGTTAATGATTATTTTATAGTCATTCCTAAAATAACTACTGTGGTGTCTATCTCCTAATCTTGAGTAATTTTTAATTATATACATGCAGGTATGTAAAATGGATTGTGAGATGAAATGGACCATATGGTCAAAAAGTTAGAAATAAATTAACCTACACAAAGATTATAAGAAAAAATATTTACCTAAATCCCAGTTGCAATATCTACATTGCCTTCCTGTGGCACTACATTAAAAAATAAATAAATAAATGAAGGAACTCAAGGAAAAATATTCAAAAGAATTCTACATAGTAGAAACTTCTATCTACAGGCAAGAATAAAAGGCAATAGTAAATGAGAGATAGCTTACTCTATTTTTTAAAGGTTTGATATGTGGTTTCTTTCAGGACCTAGAAAAATGTATTAATTTGTATGAGTACATTGTACACTAGGACTTGGATCCTCTTTTACAAGGGTCTTCCTTCTGCAGTCTTCTAGCCTCCTCTTTTACACTGTCTCTGCCAATTATATTTAAGGGCACAGTCTTTGTTAACAGCAATTACAGGTATAGACTATTGACTTAGGTTTGCCTTCAACTATTTAAATATTTCCTACCAAACCAGCAATAACTTTACTTAACAGTTCACTAACATGGGCTGGTGGGTTAGCTCACTTGGGAGAACATGGTGCTGGTAACACCAAGGTCATGGGTTCAGATCCCTGTACTGTACTGGCCAGCCACCAAAAAATAAATAAATAAAATATGATATCATTTGTCATTAAAAGAATAGTTCACTAACATGTCTGTAAGGTCAATGCCTTATAGTGTCTACTTCCTTCGTCTTTTAGAGTAGAAAGGGCACTTACTTAATTCACCCTGGAAGAAGAGACACATCAGATGTGTTTGACCTGAAGACAGAGGAAAACTGGCAAGTTGCCCAGGCATTTTTCTAACAGTAAGAATCCACATTTTTGATGCTGCGAGTAAGAGGTAGCTGTGGCCCTTTACTCTGGTATTATATGAGAATTTCCTATTATAATTTTTGGAAAATCCTGAGTGCAAAGATAAATTTAGATTGTACTGATGGAAATGTGTGTATCTTATTATAAAATATTTAGGGTATTATGAAAATTAGAATCACCTTGTTTTGATTATTTCCAACGCTACCTCCATAATAATTTTCTCTGTTGAGATGAGCAAATATATTGCCCATTACACGAAAGTTAATAAATGTATATTTTAAATATACATTAAAGTAAGTATTTAAAGTTTATAAGTAGGAATAATGACTTGGTTTCAAGTTCGCTAACTTAACCAAAGAAGGACGTGATCTGGAAATCATGCTGAGGTCAGGGCAGGCTGGCAAAGTGTAGAAAGCACTGGAATAAGAGACAGCAGTGTTTATTTCATTTCAGGTTCAGCCTTTAATAAACTAACTGTGGGACCTTCAGAATGCCACCTATCCTCTCTGGATTTCTGCTTCCTCAGCTGTGAAGTGAGAGGGTTGAACACGATGGCTTATGAAGTCCTCCACAGCTATTTCAGTCACATGGATTCTATGTACATATTTCTATTGCACATTATAAATAAGACTAAACCATACAGCTCATGCAAAACTGAGTGCTGCTTAGATAGTACTAATGAAAGAAATCCCCCATACAAATTAATTCAACAAGAAAAACGATGTCTAGCTTTTTCTCCCTTTTTAAAGCATTTTTTGTAACCAGAGGCAGTTGAAAGAAAATTGGTATAGTTGAAGGGAAAACAATTTCCAAGCAAACATCTTATTGATAGGCCCCCTTACTGACTTGTACAGACCCAGTGAGGACTGGTGGATAGAAACTATTCTCATTCCATTCAGTTTGTTCAGGGACAGAGTGAACCAGGAGGGTTTCCTGTTAGGATGACAGATAGCCACGTTTGCCATATGACAACGAAAGGAGACTATATCCAGCAGATTTAGGGGAAAGGGCAAAAAAGTGCTCCTGGCTCTCACCATCTTTTCTTTTTCACCATCAAAGCCCCCCTCATACAGAACCAGACATGAATTCTAAACCATGAGCTCAGTCAGAAATTCAATGTTCCCACAAAGCACAACTCTCCCATTAACAGCTGAAATTCCATCCAAAGCTATTTTCTCTTCCAAAATAGTAAAGCTGTAAGCATAAAAGCTTTACCACCATTCTATTTTTTTCTAGATAAGTAAATCTGAAAACTAGAATAGTAGGGTTCCAAAATAATAAGTTTCCATTGTGTTTATCTACCCCAGTTGAGAATTTCTTCATACTTAGAAAGCCTACAGAGTGAAGTTCTTCCTTTTAGGTCTATTAAAATGGCCTCTGGGCCATATGGTCTTATTATGTGAAAAATAAGTGCAGTTACCTAAGGAAAAGACAGTAGGTGAATATCTCCTCGAGGAAAATACAATAATGGGAAACTACCACTGTTTATAATAGAATTCGCCACAGGCAGACAATAACTGATAACTCAGACTTTAAAAATAAAAATGTATTTGAAATTTTCATGTCAATATTTACTAGCAAGAAATGCCACTTGGCCCATGCCCTTTTTTTGAAAAAAAAGGTTTTTTTTCCTTTTTGTCTTTTTTCATAACCGGCAAGGGGATCGCAACCCTCAGTGTCGCGCCCGCACCAGACCGGGACCGGCCACGGGATCGCAACCCTCGGTGTTGCTCCCGCCCCTCGCTCAGCCAGTGAGCGGCCGGTCCGCATGCGGGATCCGAACCCTTGGTGGGAGCACCACCGTGCTTCCCAAGCGGGGCACTATAGTAGTGCGCCACCGGGCCGGCCCTTTTTTTTGAAAAATTTTAGCAATAAAGATAAGACTGATATCACTTTGGAGGTTAATACTGGAAAGTACTTTCAAAAATAATTTCCCATTTTATGCCAAATCACTATTGTTAATATGTGCATGATTATGAAAAAATAAGTTTTCATGAGGCTTAAATTTAAGCAGCCTAACTTGTTAGTAGTACCAGTAAGAACTGAAATACCTGTGAAAAGACTATGGCAGCACACAAAAAACTACTTTCATAGATTAAGGGGCCTTGGTTCATGGAGGATATAGCAAAGCAGAATGGGAAACACAAACTATGAAAGGAACTGAATTTTCCACCAGCAGTCGGTATGCTCTGTCAACTATGCAAGAACACTAAAACAGTAATTTCCACTGGTGAAGACTACAGTGATAATAGACACTGCAACAACTGATGTTTTCAAGTTGTGTGATATGGAAATTCTAACTTCTTTCAAAGCATCAGATGGATTCTAAAAGGCTCCTAATGCACAAAAGTAAAAAATAACCAGCTAGAGTGGATATGGGACTTAGCAATGTCTTTCATTGGAAAAACAAATTGTTTTCAAAAGTATTTTAGATATATGCCTAAAAATGATTTACTATAAAGAATGAGCAGCAAAATATTTTTGTAAGTCAAATATAAATGCATGAATAATCCTTAGGAAGCCTGTTATGATTGCTTCAAATATTACTATGATCACACATTTTTTAAAAAAGGGATATAGGCTTATAGTTACATAAGAATTATATAAAGTAGTTTGACAGATCCTACCTTTTTCAGAAACCGGACTCCGTAGGTAAATACATAAAGGTAAAATGAAAATCTCCACCTGTAGAAGGTTAAAAAAAAATTCTATGATATTCAGTTCATATATTTCATAGCATATTCTGAAATATGTGAGGGAAAAAAGTTAATTAAATTTGACCTCCCCCACAACCAGGGATTAAATTTAATGAACAATTTCAGTGCAAGCTGAATATATATACTTATGAGCATGGCTTAAAACAAATACTTAAAATATTTTTTTTTTCCTTTTTGTCTTTTTTCGTGACTGGCAACGGATCGCAACCCTCAGTGTCGCGCCCGGACCGGACCGGGACCGGCACCGGGATCACAACCCTCAGTGTTGCGCCCGCACCTCGCTCAGCCAGTGAGCGGGAACCGGTCTGTATGTGGGATCCGAACCCTCGGCGGGAGCACCACCACACTCCCAAGCGGCGCACTGTAGCAGTGTGCCACCGGGCCGGCCCAAAATATTTTTTTTCTTCCAAATTTTATTTTATTTTGTCAATATACAATGTGGTTGATTATTTTGGCCCATTACCGAAACCTTCCTCCTCCTCCCTCCCAACAATGTCCTTTTTGTTCACTTGTTGTATCAACTTCAAGAAATTGTAATTGTTATTTCTTCTTCCCCCCCACCCCGGTTTTTTGTGTATTTATTTATTTATTTATAGCTCCCACAAATAAGTGAGAACATGTGATATTTCTCTTTTTGCACCTGACTTGTTTCACTTAATATAATTCTCTCTAGGTCCATCCATGCCGTTGCAAATGGCAGTATTTCATTCTTTTTTATAGCTGAGTAGTATTCCATAGTGTAGATATACCACATTTTCCATATCCACTCATCTGATGATGGACATTTAGGCTGGATCCAACTCTTAGCTATTGTAAAGAGTGCTGCGATGAACACTGGGGAACGGGGGGGGGGGGTTCGACTTGATGATTTCCATTCCTCTGGGTATATTCCCAGCAGTGGGATAGTTGGGTCACATGGTAGATCTATCTGCAATAGTTTGAGGAACCTCCATACCATTTTCCATAGAGGCTGCACCATTTTGCAGTCCCACCAACAATGTATGAGAGTTCCTTTTTCTCCACAACCTCGCCAGCATTTATCGTTCACAGTCTTTTGGATATTAGCCATCCTAACTGGGGTGAGATGGTATCTCAGTGTGGTTTTGATTTGCATTTCCTGAATGCTGAGTGATGTTGAGCATTTTTTCATATCTGTTGGCCATTCGTATATCTTCCTTTGAGAAATGCCTATAATTATATTCATGACAACTTTTCTTTCAGTTACTTTATTTGCCCATTTGCTCATCTTCTATTTCCCCAACATGTGAATTTCCTCTTGTTAATCACTCATGAATGGATATGATTCAACAACATGAAGGTGTATAAGATAGTTTTGAATTATTTGATTTAGATATTAAGTAAATAACTTGACTTAACTGAAGTTCACATTTATTTTAAAAATATAACCCTCAATATTTTTCAATTAGGTAAGAATTTTCTTCTGTATCTTTTAACAATTTTTTTTTCATCAACATCTTTGTGGATGTTGCTAAAGGAAGGCATTATAGAATCTAAATCAAATTACAACTGTAAATGACAATCTCATGCCATTCCAAAATGTAGATCTAGCTGTTAAACTTTTACTTTTTTAAAAGAAGAAAAAATTTTAAGTTCTCTTTTGATTTTAAGTGATTGAAAATGTTTTAGGTCTTTTAAAGTATAAGATATGCATTTGTGTGTGTGTGTATTACAAAAAATTCTTACCCTAGTATTCAATTCCTAATTTTATTTCTTGTATTTTCTGAGTATGAAAAGCTGAGCCTTTAAAAGCTGGATGGATTTCACAACAGTATTCCTGAGGTCATGTTGTTAGTGGTACCACAGGTTATAAATTGTAAATGAACACAAAGGAGAAAGTGACTAGTCAACTTCAGAAGGCAAATTGCATTTTGTGCTTGCAAATCATGTAAAAATTTCAAATAAGGTAAAAATAAGAGGTGATATCAGGAGATGATTCAAGTTACATACAAAATTATCTGAAAAAAATGACAATTATATTCAGGTAAGAGGAAGGAGTAAAATTATGGAGCTTCCAGGAGTTGAGTAAGACCCAACAGCAGCAAGAAGTTTCCTTCAGACTTTCATGGGCACATTCATTCCTGGGCTGGCCAACTCTTCGAACATTCTGAAATTCAAGTCAGAATTAATATTTAAAGAGCTTTAAATTTCAGGGTTGATGGGGCCGGCCCGGTGGCGCACTGCTACAGTGCGCCACTTGAGAGCACGGTGGTGCTCCCGCTGAGGGTTCGGATCCCACATACAGACCGGTTCCCGCTCACTGGCTGAGCAAGGTGTGGGAGCAACACCGAGGGTTGCGATCCTGTTGCCGGTCCCGGTCCGGTACGGGCGCTACACTGAGGGTTGCGATCCGTTGCCAGACACGAAAAAAGACAAAAAAAGGGAAATAAATAAATAAATAAATAAATTTCAGAGTTGAAAATCTTCAACTATCAATTCATAAAACCTAAATTCAAGAAAGAACAATAAAACTGACGGAAGCAGTAATGATTAAACAAAACTTCAAAACAATATAGAAAAGCCATGTGTCTAAAACCTCATACAAAAGCTCTCTTGTAGGTAAAGATGGCTCACTTGTAGTATCAAAGTCCAAAACTTAATTTTAACCCCATTTCCATTATCAATTTCTTGGCAGCTGTGGATGAGAGTGCCTCTGTGGTTTCGGTTTGGATGTACAAATTCTAGATAAAAGTTAAAACCAAGGACAGCTTCATGGGCATGTGACTTGCATAGTCACATAGGGTCCCATGCCTGATTAAATGCTTTGCTATTGCCGTCTTGAAATTCTTAGTAACTGTTGAGCAAGGGGCCCAGCATTTTATTTTGCACTGGGCCCTGCTATTATGTAGCTGGTTTTGTTAAGATACAGATTCTCTTCACTTTGGGCAAATCTGTTAATATGCCTTGACTCATCTCTATAATGGGAGAGTGGGTTTATGCTATAATGATGTATAATCAAGTATTCAGTGGCACAAGTAATCTCCACTTTTCTTTAGTCACTCCCATTCCCTATTGTACTGAACTAGCCTACCTCATGCATTTGCCTTACTTTTCTGACCCCTGGAGGCAACTGAATTTGCAACACCTACGTTAAATAATTTATAACTGTTATTTCAGCTCTAAGGCTCTTGTTAGTAGGCAGTGATCAGGCATTTTTTATGAATAATAAAAATTTTTATAGAAGTCATTAGAATTCCTACCATCACTTAGGGATCTACATTTCATTTCACTAAAATGACCTAGTTTTCATAAGACATAGGTTCTATTACATGAACACTGATGTCTCCATCATTTGAATGACAACTTATGATGAATATTTATAAGGCAGAGTTTACTTACAAAACATATCTGCAGGAGGCAAAATTTTCATGCATTTTGCAACATTTTGTACTTTTATTTGTGGAGTTTGACATAAGTTATCATTTTGAATGCTAGTTACCAGACCCTTATTATAGCCTCTCCCTAGCCTTCCACTAAAATAGCCATAAAAACAGAGATAAATAAAGGTACATGCAACCAGAAGAAGGAAGATATGACCTTAGAACTATTGACAGAATCAGGGAAGAATTCTTACAAAGGAAAAGAATAAAAGTAGATTTTAAAAATGTGATTGGGGTGATGAGAAACAAGCTACAAGCCTTGAATGAAGTAGGAAATATTTCTCTGCATATCTCCCTTTCTCTATTTTCTGCCATCTTGTACAGAAATGCAAAAATCTGTATCATTCGGAAACCTAGACAGCTCTTTATCATGAACGATGCTTTTTGAGGTAGCAGGAGAATCCCCTACCCCATTGGTTAGTGATTGCTACTTTTAAAAGACTTCTGGGATAAAGGGGTAGTGCTTTGTACCCTGGTATTTTCAGCTGCAGAAAAGCAGATTTATGGACAAGATGATCTATGAAGGCACTGCATTCTGGGGTTGGCATTCTTACATAAAACATATGTAAAGTAACAGAGAACAAGGCACCGGAGATAGCAGCTTTATATGAAATTCTTCTAGTCCATTGAAAATGGTCAGATCCCATAAACATCAACCTGCTACAAGCCAAAGATCTAAAAGAGGATTTTTGCTAGCAAACAAGAGGACAAAGGGTGGGGCCAAAGGCAGTCCTCGCATCCTCTATGAGCAGGTCTAAATGTATATGGAAATTCAGGAATGGAAATAACAGCTATATGTCAGCATGGGTCTACTAAGTAATACTGAAAACGGAAAGAAAAGAGCATGCTAAAGATTCAAAGGAAGAACAGTCCACTAAAAATGACTTCCTAGAGGAATCAGAAGTAATTTTTAACAAAGTATTTGGCATCAATATAATATAATGAGGTATGATCCCTAGAAACAAAAGTAGAAAGCCACAAGTCAATGAAAGACTGCTGGGTAAGATAAAAAGAGATCATAGGTGAAATAAAGAAGCATTACAGAGATTCTAAAAATGAACTACAGCATTATTATCCACATCGGGTATGGGGGGAATGTAGATACATACAATGTAAAATTAAATCATTGACATAAATACCCCATAGGCCAGAGAAAAAAACAGATGAAAAAAACATCCTGGATCTGGAGAACCAGATAAAAACAAATCTAATTATAGTTGTTTCTAAGAAAACACAAGTGAAGAACTGAAATAGAAGTAATAATCAAAGACCACCATTGGGGGGAAAAAATCTCAACTAGAAAAAAAAAAAAGAAAAGAAAAGAAGAGGACTAAATTGTATTCCAAACAATACCAACTCAAAGCCAAATTCTGACAAAAGTTTTGAATCCTAGGGCTAAAGTGGAAAAAAAAATCCTTTAGTATTGAGGCATGAAAACAAAAGTCAATACACAAATCAAATGAAAACAAGTCACCGTCAAAGAAACAAAACATCCAGTTGGTCTTAAATGTCTCCTCAGTATGACCAAATGTCATGACAAGGGGAAGACTCAATCAAAGAAAGTTACTGC